GGGCTTCTGTGTACGTTTGGGAGCACGAAGGGTCTCATGGAGCCTGACTTACTTAGCATAACTTACTAAATACTTATTGAATCCATTAGCTCATTTACTATTTAGTCACCAGTTTTGCATGTGGCAATGTTCCCCAAATTGGAGTAATACCGTCGTTAGTTTCGTCATATTCTAACCACCTGTACTGTAAAAAAAATTGTTTCTCAAACCAACTTACTTTCAAAAATCTTACTTTAGTCTTATGTGCTAAAATCATGGCTGTGAATAGTTACATATGTTTTTAAAACATTAAAATAAATTCTTTAAAAAAATTTTTTTAAAAGATTTTATTTATTTGACAGAGAGCGAGTGAGCAAGAGCAGGAACACAAGCAGGGGGAGTGGCAGAGGGAGAAGCAGGCTTCCTGCAGAGCAGGGACCCCAATGCGGGGCTCAATCCCAGGACCCTGGGATCATGACCTGAGCCAAAGGCATACACTTAACAACTGAGCCACCCAGGCACCCCTAAAATAAATTCTTTTTTTTTTTTTAAAGATTTTATTTATTTAACAGAGAGAGACACAGCGAGAGAGGGAACACAAGCAGGGGGAGTGGGGGAGGGAGAAGCAGGCTTCCCGCCGAGCAGGGTGCCTGATGCGGGGCTCGATCCCGGGACCCTGGGATCATGACCTGAGCCAAAGGCAGACGCCTAACGACTGAGCCACCCAGGCGCCCCCTAAAATAAATTCTTAATTAAAAACAATACTACCTGTCTACTACCTAAAAATCTCAGGTACCAACAGTGGCTGTCTCCCCACCATTTGGGACTCAGGAGAGTGTGTTTATCGTGCTTGAATACCTTAGAGGGCTGGGTTTTTTGTTTTTTGTTTTTTTGCGTTTGTGTTTTTTTTTAATGTGGCAAAATTTTAAAAGCACTTTATGGATGTATTGTGGCTAACAGGTAGATGCATCAGACAGAGTTCCTTATTGTAAGCTTCCATAGTGGACAGAGATCTTAGGACAAAGGCTGGACCACAGTGGAGCCCAAAGAGTATTAAATATGAGCATAATACATGATGGTACTTTTTCTAATGAGTGAAAAGTATGCATGTGAATCTGACAACAAAGTTGAAAATAGAGTCTTATCCTCAATTCATAGATCAGAATCTATGGGACACGAGTGAGGGGGTGTGGTAGGCAGACCCAAACGTATGTTCCCTTTGGGTACATACCCTGTATAGTCCCCTCCCCTTGAGTGTGAACAAGACTTGTAAATACAGTGGACTGTCACTCCAACAGTTATGTTATATAGCAGAAGGGAATTTGTAGATGTAGTTAAAGTCCCTAATCAGTTGACTTTAGTAAATAAAAAGGGAGATTATCCCGGGTGGGTCCAACCTAATCAGATGAGGCCTTAATAATAGTCAGAAGGCATTTGAAGCAGGAGAGAGATTCTCCTGCTGTCCTTGAAGAGTAAACAGTAACAAAAGTGAACTATCTCTGATTGGCCACATGGTAAAGACCTGAGAATGCCCTCTAGTTGTCAACACTGATCTCCTGAGGGTTGTCAGTTGCCAAGAAAATGGGGACTTCAATCATATGGCTGTAAGGAAATGAATTTTGTCAATACACCAGGGGAACTTGGAAGTGGATCTTTTCCTAATTGAGCTTTCAGATGAAGATGCAGCTGGCTGGCATCTTGATTTCAGCCTGTGAGACCCTGAGCCAGGAACCCAGTTCAGTCCATTCTGGACTTCTGACCCATGGACACTGTGAGATAAGAAACTTCTGCTGGATTTGTGGGAATTTGTTATGCAGCCATACGAACAAGTACAAAAGCTAACCCAAAATTCAGTAAGTCATGGAGGAATTGTGTCTAGAAAAATCTGTGAAAAAAGTGCTTTCCTTTACCAGTAGGGTTTTCACAGCTTTTAAAACTTTTGCCAGCACAGTCCAATGAATGAAGGTGGGTGGACCACCAATCTGAAACTGCTCCAAATTTAGATCTGTCGCCAGAAAAAATGTTTTGCTTAGTAGTTTCCTCCTCTTACCTTAATTCCAGGTGGCACCAATAAGGACGTTTCCAAATGTCTTTGCCAAGTTTATGTCTTTAGGATTTTTGATGATGGTTGATGCAAAACAATGAAAAAAATTAAGTCAATGGGAATGATTTGGACCTATTTCTCTGGTGTGTAGTCACTTCCACTGGACCGTATCTAATATAATATTTCATCTGTTTCTTTTGCTGTTTGGTTTGGCTTTTTCTTAAAGGTGAACCGAATTTCCCAAGGGTCATAGTGAGATAGTTTTTAATAATTGAAACAGTAATGTTTTGACCAGAAGGAACTCTTTTCTCTTGAAATCACATTCTGGACTAGGTTGCTAAGAAACCAGTTTTTTACTCAAGGCCCAAACCAATGCTTTGTCCTACCTTTAGTTCAGAAATTCCTCGGGGGGGACGAAAAGGTGGTTTCTTTTCTCTGATCTCTTGGAAAATGCCAACTAATTAAGGTTATTTATGCATTCCTGGACTGGCTGTGGGGTTAAGAAAGCCCAAGGCCACCGTTGCCTTCTCCACGTGCTCACTCCTCTGACCCTGGTGACCAGTCCTGGCCAGGCCGGCCACACTCAGACACTTGTAGGCTAGGTGGTCTGCTTTGCTGAGAATGTATCCTTAGAGGGAAATTTCCACTAGCTTGTGTCAGAGTGTTCATTTTCACCAAGCTTCTCCCCCAGGCCTCTGGTGAAGTACTTGGCAATCCCAGGTTTGCCAAAATGAAACAATTTTGTTATTGTCTTTTTGAGGTGGAGGAAGTATGAGAAGGACCTCAAGAGAAGAGATGTATCATATCTCAAGTCCTCCTGGAGAGGTGTTCCTGCTGGGGCAGGGTCTGAGCTGAGCTTCGGTCCCAGGGAGAAGGCCTGCTTCCTCACTCCAGACCAGGAGGCTTTGGGCTCTAGACTCAGTAGCTTAGGGAGAGCTGGAGTAGGGCTGAGGTAGGGGAATTGGCCCTGGCCACCCGGCACCACTTGGCTGGTGGTGACACTTGGGAAGTGGCCAGGGTCTAGGGTCCTCCTGGAGAGCAGCAGGGCTGTGGGTCCCACAAAGGCTCAGCTTCCATAGCTGCCTTTAAGGCAACCGCTCTTAGCTGCAGAGTGCGCATCATCCCCTAGAGATGCCTTAAAATGCACACGCTGATCCAGGAGGTCTGGGACAGCCCCAGATCCTGCACCCCTAGCACGTCCGTCCCAGCTGGTGCTGGGGCAAGGCAGTTGCGGCTTCACAGCTGTGCTGGGCAGCGTGCTCCTCGGACCCGTAGCAACGGCCTCATGGGGAACCTGGCCGAAACGCAAACTAAAGCTACTAAATCAGACCCTCTGAGGATGGGGCCTGACGGCCTGTGGGGTAGCAAGCCCTCTGGGTGATTTCGGTAGATAACAAAAGTTGAAAAGCCCTGCTTTCATCAGACTCTGGGTGTTTGCTAGTCATAGCGCGTGCTCATTGATCTCTGCATCCTCTCAGATGGCTGCGCGGTGTGCTCTTTGCTCATTTAACCATCTGGAAAATCTGCATCTAGTTTTTGCCTTATGTCCGTTAACAGCATCTTTAGTGGTTCCGCAGATCGACAATTACGTGTAGATCTGCAAATACTTTAGCTGAGCGCAGGGTCTACTGGGCTGAGAGTTGGGGGGGAGGTACAAAAGGATGAGAAGAATCTCCCTCCATTAAAAAAACAAACAAACAGGAAACCACACCTCTAAAAAGCAATAAGGGCTTCTTAAAACACATAAGGTTTATGTGTTTTAAGACGTAAGACCTCTAAAACACAATAAGGGTTGCTGGGCCACACCCCTGGAGCTTCTGACTCTGCAGGTCTGGGTGTGCCTTGAGGATGTGCATTTTTAATGCATTCCTTGGGGAATGCTGCAGCTGCTGGGCCAGGGACCATTCTTCAGAACCCCGTTGGGAGCACTCGTCATCTCCTTTCATGCTTTCTCCCTCTCTGGCAGGTAGGCTGTTGGGGATGCCGAGGGGGGAGGAGGTGGCGACAGGGGACCCTCAGGCGTGAGCGTGCAGAAGCAAATCCACTCCAGGGCCGGTCGCAATCATCTTTATTTCATCAGGTGGCGCCAACAGGTAAGTGGTCCTATTATTATAATTATTTTTTTAAGTGGTCCTATTAATACACATTGCAGGACCCAGGGCCAGAGTCTGGACTAAGGCAGATGTCCCACTCCTCCTTGGAGGTGATGCTTCCCTGGTGCTTTCCCTCTTAAGAAAGGCACTGACTTAGACCTCACCCTTCCTGTACATACAGAATGGCTGCAGTTTAACCACATCAGATTGCGGTGTGGTCCTCCCTTGGAAGTAGATCCCTGACTCCGTTGCAGCATTAATGGCCAGGTGGGTGTAGGACTTGTAGCATTGGTTCTCAACACTGCTGTACAAGTTTGGAAGAGAAAAGGATGCCCACATCCCTCCCCAGACTAATTAAATCAGAATGTGAGGTGGAAGGGTCTGGAGCAGAACTGGCCGATTGGGACGTGCAGACAGGTAGGGAATCGCTGTGCTACAGGCTGACTGCTCTGCACAGGGCTGGGCTTGGGAGTGGGGGACTGGGGGCTCCGCATTTCTCCGGGACCCGGCCTTCAGGGAGAACTTTCTGTGGGGAACAGATACAGGATTCAGAGATGGAGAGATCATCCCCGGCCCCTGGCCCTGCAATAATAGTGCAGGTGTCATCCATTATCATTTTGAAAATAGTGTCTTATTTGGCTTTTACGTGAAAGCAGAATAAAATATCCTATCAAAAGAGAGTCATGTCTAAGAGCTCTTTAAACCATTATGGATTTTTAAAAGGCACTGTGGGGGCCCAGTGTCATGCGCTAAGTGCTATCTGATAGGAGGTCATGAGTGTGATATCTATGTCATCTTATTAAAAATGGGGATTATTCCTTGAGCTTTGGGGATATGATTAGAAACTAAATTCAGGGACTTGCCCTTGTGAAGTGCAACATAGCTTTTTTTTTTTTTTGTAGTTAGCATGTATATATATATATTTCATATATATATATTTGGAATGCATATAATATGGAAATAAGTGCCCCGATAATTGAAGGAGGAGATAAAACAGTAGCTGTAGAATTCTGACTATTTTCTCTGTTCTTCGCCAGGGTAGAATAATACATAGATTCTAAGGTTGAGGAGATGGCTTTCCATTGATGTAGCTGACCTTAGTTACCACTAAGGGGTGATTCCCTTCAGGTAATAAACCCATTTAACACCTGCTTCATTGCCTTCACTGGGAGGACAAGACACAATCAGCTTGCTGGTGATGGGCGTTTTGCTGCCTGACGGGTTTCCTTCAAAGGAGACGGTGATATTGTTGATCTTCTTGGGCCGCACGGAGTCTACAGCACGAACAGAGAAGGCTGGGTTCTCCACAATGAAGGAGAAGGTGACTGGATGATAGAAAATGTTCTTGAAGGGGATGACTATGTTGTACCCTGCCCGGATCAGGAAGGGACCTTGGGGCTTCGGGGGCAGAGCCACTCCGAAGAGGGGGATGATATACTCCCCGCCTGTAATCGATGACAGCATCAGGATGCCCTTGGTCTCGCCCAGGTGGCTGGGCTCAAAATAGACCTCCACACTGACTTCCGTGCCTCCTTGAGCCCCTGGGGCTGCGTTAATGATCTTTTCCGTGTGGAAGTCTTGACAGTCGGTCTGAAAGAGGAAGAAATGCACTTGGTTCACAAGGGATCCCACAGAGCACACGGGCAGCTCGGGCCCATCCCCCGCCTGCCCACCCGCTCTCGGACATCAACTAACCTACGTTTGTGTGAGGCTGGGCAGGTCATTAAAAGTTGTGCCCTTATAAGTCCCTTGAAGAGTAGGTAATACTAATTATTATACCCATTTTGCTACAAAGAAATCGAGGCCAAGCAATGTTAAATGACTTGCCCAGATATACCAAGCAGGGTTACAGAAGTGTGGCCTTCACTAGTGGCCCCCCTATCTGGCTCTTCTCTTCTCCCACACCCATGAAAGGCTGAACACTCTGGCTCCTCATGGATGGGGGGGGTCTAGTTCTCAACAGTGAGTTTTGAGCAGAAGTGAAAGGGGTCACTTCCACACTAGGGCACTTGCTTGTCAGTGCAAGGCCCCTTGGGATCTTTTCACCCCTCTGGCACTATGACCTGAGACGTCTGAGCTGGCGGTGGCCCTTCAGCCTGGATCCCTGAATGGCTGTGATGAACAGAGTCCCCTGCTGACCCTCACTGGATAGGTAGCACAAATGAGGGACAAACCTTGGTTGTTTTAAGCCACCGAGATATCGGGGCTGTTTGTTACTATAGCATAACCTAGCTTCTCCTGACTGATATGATTGATCAAGAGCCCGGGCCTCTTGACTGTAGCCATGGAACCCAGTGTGGAGGCTGCACCTCCTAGCTCCCCTTGTTGCTAGATGTGGTCTTACACAATTTTGTTCAAGGGAATGTGAGTGGAAGGGATAAATAGAGCTCCCCGCCATCTCCCTGGAGCTGGCTGGAATGCAGACATCATGGTAAGCCGTCTTGGTCCCTGTGGACCAAAGCAACTCTCTACAGAGGGAAGTGCCTCAGGATAGAAGGAGTCTGGATACCTGATGTCATGGAGCTACCATTCCAGCCCAAACTGCTTACGTTCACACTGTTATCTGACAGAAGAGTAACTTTTATTTTTGCTGTTATTTTGGGTTTCTGTTTCAGTGGTTAAACCTGGATTCCAAATTATATAATAGGTAACATATATGAAGCATGTACTATGAGCTAGGCTCTATGAAAACAGTTTTGTATGCATCTTTTAAAGGCCTCCGAGCAATCCTGTGAGGTTGGGGTATTATTACCATTTCTAGAAAAGGTTAGAGAGCTTTAGCAAAGTATTCAAAGAGTAAGTGGTGAAGCCAGGGTTCAAATCCAAGGCTGTTGGATTTCACAGCCTATACTCATTGACTGGGTTCTCCACAATGAAGGAGAAGGTGACTGGATGATAGAAAATGTTCTTGAAGGGGATGACTATGTTGTACCCTGCCCGGATCAGGAAGGGACCTTGGGGCTTCGGGGGCAGAGCCACTCCGAAGAGGGGGATGATATACTCCCCGCCTGTAATCGATGACAGCATCAGGATGCCCTTGGTCTCGGGCCTACTGTCTCTTCTAGTGACTGCTGTACTTGCTGTGGGAAGCAAAACTCTCCCCACCCCTACCCCAGCTTGTTAAGACAGAGTCTGTAAGGAAGAAGCCAGCCTGATGCTGTTTCTAGCTGGGAGTTTCCAGGCTAGATGAAGCCCTTGACTCCCTCTGAGTTTCATATTTCTGCACCCCCTGTATCCTCCTTCTATTCTTTTTAAGCTCAGACTTCTGGCAAGGGAAGGGCAGAGGGTGGGACAGTGGCTACTCACCCTGCAGTAGTATTCTGTCTTCTGCCGGGTGTAATTGGTGAACTTGGCAAAGATGCTCTGACCGCTGCCAAGAATGGCCTGGAAGTGGATGGGCTTTTCAGGCAGTGCTGGTGTGGCCTTCAAACTGAGCTCATACAGGTAGTAACCCAAATCACTGTTGTGCAGCATTAGTCTCCCAAAGGTTTCTCCAGCTCTCAGGGGCTGGAATTCAAATGAGAATGTGCCCTGCAAGAGAAGACAGAGGCTCCCATGATGCCACGAGTCCAACCCATCCCTTGCTACCCAGTGACCTCAGAGTAGGTTGGTGGCAGAAATGCTGCTTCACAGCAAATGCTCACACTGATCTTGAGCCCAGGGAATCTCTGTCCAAATAGCCCTTTTTCTCCTCTGTATCCCTTCCGGCTTTCCCTAGAAATACCCTAGAGGTATTTATATATCTGGAATCTTTTTGAATCTAAAAGGTATTAGATCTTCTCTTGAGAAACACACACTTATGGCGATGGGGGTGAGTATTGCCAGCAGGAGGGCTGAAGGTCAAGCAGCTCTTTCTTTGCTCATAGCCAATCTCAGAACAGCGTCCTGGGTTCTACCTTCAACTGGGAAAGATTTTCTCCTCCTTCTATTATCGCCCATGGCAAAACAAAATAAGAATCAAGAGTATGACTTATAATAACAAAATAAGGGAAACAATTCAAATGAGTTGAGCAGTAGGAACTCGGCTAAATAAATCATAGTTTACCCACTTTGGTGAAATAGTATGTAGCCATTAGAAAGGAAGAGGCAGAGCGATAAGCATTGCCATGAAAGGTGTTGATGATATTGTAAGTCAAAGGAAGGACGTTTCATAAATGTATATAAAGCATGTGCCCATTTTTATGGAGAAGATTATGTCTTTGCAGGTATGGAACAGAGACAGCAAGGATGTATTTCAAATTGTTACCAGCAGTTATCTTAGGCTGAAGGAAATGGGATTTGGGGACTTTCATTTTCTCTTCCATAGACTTTTGCATAGTTAAAATCTTGTTTTTATTATGAGTAGGTATAGTATCTTTTTAAAAAAGAACTAGTTCTTCTGAACTATTCAACATGGAGGCGGAGGTCGATAAGCTGGAACTGATGTTCCAGAAAGCTGACTCTGATCTGGATTACATTCAATACAGGCTGGAATATGAGATCAAGACTAATCATCCTGATACAGCAGGCAAGAAAAATCCAGCTACACTCTTAAAGGAATTGTCAGCAATAAAGTCTCGATATCAAACTTTGCACGCATGCTTTAAACCAATTGCTGCAGAGCAGAAAGAGACTAAGAACTGCATTTGTGCTACTGTCAATAAGACTATGACCATGATACAAGAACTACAAAAGCAAACAGACCTGGAGCCGTCACCACCGAGTAAAGAAGAGAAAACTGCGGCAGAGCAATTAAAATCTTTCATGTCAGACTTATGAAGAAATGGACTTGCAAAAGGGAATTCTAATGGAGAAGAGATCTATCCCAGAAAGATTTAGGAAGATGTCTCGTTAGCACTTGAGGACTAGAGGTGGGGGGATGGAGAAGAAGATTTGGCTGGAGTGACTGGATAATGATGCCTTTCACAACAGAGGGGACCATAAAAAGGGCAGATATTATAGGAATAAAGTTTAGCCAAAAGGATGGAATGGGAATAAAGAGATTTAAAAATATATATGCACACACACTTAGTCTTGTAATTTCGAGCAAGGAAGTCACATAACTCTATTTTGCATCTGTTTTTGTGTAATTGGGATAATATGGATGTCCTGGCCTATCATGAAAGGATATATGTACTATCAGTCAGATGTGAATGAGCATGCTTTGGAAATTAAAGGATAGAAAATATATTTGTATTACATTATATATATGTATATAATTTTACTTTTGAAAATTTTGTTTACAGGTAATGGTCACATTATTAATGAGACTGCTAATATGTGACCTATAGTCCTCCACAAAAGCTAACTTTAGTAATAATAAATTGGCTTTTCTGTGATAAAAAAAAAAAGAACTAGTTCTTCTCATTGAAAAATAGAATAAAAAGAGGATATTGTTAAAGTTGTTGTAGATGTTTAACAGAAAAGAATAGAGTATACGCATTTAGATGATTTTACCACAATTAAAAAAAAATTAGATGAGAACGGGAAAATGTATGAAAGATATAACTTACAAAACCAGACTCAAGTAGATAAAGAAAACCTAGGTAGTTCTCTAACCATTAAAGAGATTTAAGCAATAGTAAAAAAGTTTTCTCTTAACAAAATTCCAGGATCATAAAGATTTACTTGTAAGTTCTATTAGATAATCTAAGTATTCCACAAATTCTCCCAAAGAAGAGAAAAGGAGGGAACCTACTTCAGGTAGCATGATTTTGATATCAAAATCAAACAAGGCTAATAGGAGAAAAGAAAACTGGATGCCAGTCCTCCCTGCCCCAAACATACATACAAAGTGCCCAATAAAAATGTTATCCAGCTAATCCAGCAATATATAAAGAAGAAAGTGTTTTATGGCAAAGATGGGTTTATTCCATGAATGAAAGGCTGGTTTAACATTTAACTGCCAATCAGTTGCCACATTGAGAGATTAAATGGAGAACAATGATTCGACCATCTCAATAGATGCAATAAAGGCATTTGATAAAACTACATCCATTCATGGAGTTTTAAAAAAAGCTCTTAGCAAACTAGGAATAGAAAGGGACATCCTTAATTTGATAAAGGGTATCTATAAGAAACCCAAAATAAACATAATAAATGGTGAAACTTTGAAAGCTTTCCCTTCAAGATTAGGAAAAAGGCAAGGATGCTGTCTATCGCCTTTCTAGTCAACATCGTTCTGCAGTTCCTAGATGGCCCCCAGTGGGTCATCCTCTCCCATGTTGTACCAGGGCTGGTCTGTGTGACTCCTAGTATATGGCAGAGAGACGGCATATCACTTCTGAGATTAAGAGGAAAAGACTGTGGTTTCTGTCTTGCGCATGCTCTCTCTCCTTTGTTCTCTGCTTCTCTTAGGTCACTCGCTTTAGGGGAAGCAAGCTGTCATGGTGAAAGCAGCTCTAGGGAGAAGTGTACGTGGTGAGGAACTGAAGCCTGCAGCCAACAGCCAGCAAGGAACGAAGGTCTTTCCAAAAACCACGAGTGAGTTTGGAAGCAGGTTATCCAGCCCCAGTCAAGCCTTTGAAGTGCCCGGAGTCCTGGCTGACAACTGACTACATCCTCAGGAAAGATCCTCAGCCCAAACCAGCCAGCGAAGCTGCTACTCTTGGATTTCTGAGCCTCAGAAACTCTGTAGATAATAAATGCTTACAGTTTTAAGTTGCTAATTTTTAGGGTAATTTGGCAGCTAATACATTCTTAAAATAATCCAATCAAAATCCTAATAGGTTATTTAATTTTTTTGGAGGAACATGACAAGCTGATTTATATGGAAATGCAAAGGGCCAAGAATGGCCAAGATACTCTTGAAGAACAGGAATGTGAGATGATCAAGTCTTAATATAACATCATCAGAAGGATATTATGATTTTAATTTAACTAGTAATAGAGCTTCAAAGTATATAGAGCAAAAGCATGACAGAACTACAAGGACAAACAGACAAATCCCCTATCACAGTGACTTTAACATGCTCTCTTAAATCTGACCAAACAAGTAGACCAAAATATCAGAGAATTAACACCAAATGGCAAACACATGCTTTTTAAAAATAAATGGAGGATTAAAAAAAAAAAAGATCATATATTGGGCCATAAGCAAGTCTAAACAAATTCTAGAGGACTGAAATAATGTGGAATATAAGGACCACAAAATAATTTAAAAAACAACATGTAGAAAAATCCATACGTTTGGAAATTAGGAAACACTTGTAATAACCCATGAGTCAAAAAAGAAATATTCATAATAATGAACGTTAGAACATTTCTGAACTTAATGATAAAAAATGCTGCATATAAAAGTTTGTACACTGCAGCTAAAGCAGCACTTAAGAGGGGGACTTACAGTCTTAAATGTGTGTATGGGAAAATAGAGAAGACTAGAAGTAAATGCACTAAGCACTCATCTTAGAAATTAGACAAAGCACCAGTAACCCGCAGGAAGCAGAAAGAAGGAAATAATTAAAAGTAGAAATCAAGCAACTAGAAAACAAACATACAATAAAGAGTACCAACAAAACCAAAAGATGTCTCTTTGAATATAAGATATAATACTGAGAAACCTCTAACAAGACAGATCAAGAAAGAGAAGGCACAATAACCAATATTAGAAATGAGAAAAGAACATCACAGAGAAGAGGTAGTAAGAGGATATTAACAATGTTGTGCCAATATTTTGAATATACAGATGAAACATCCACGCTCTTGTTACTGATTCAGGAAGAAACAGAAAATCTAAATAGTTTAATAACTTATGAAAGATATAAAGTCAGTAGCAGAGAATCTTCCCCGGAAGAAAACACCAGGGCTCAGTGACTTCATCTGTGAGTTCAAGGAAGACATAACTTCAATCTTTTATAAACTCTTTCATGGAATCGAGAAAGCAGGTAAATCCCCAATTCTTTTTCTATTGCAGGCAGAGCTGATGCTCAAATTGGACAAAGAGTACAAGAAAGGAAAACTGGTTCATTCTCACTCAGGAGCATGGAGGCAGATCTCCTGCACAGACTATTAACCAACTGAAGTCAATCTATTTGTAAAAAGGTAAATTAAGATCACAAGGAGCTATTAGTTGATCCCAAGTTTTATCAGATTGGTAAACCTTTAAAAATGTGACAATGCCAAAAGTTGGTGAACTCTCATTACTGACTGGAGGTTATCTCTTGGTTGGCAGTTCAGGCATGCACACCCTGTGACCCGGTGATTCTCCTCCTCGGCATACGCTGTGGAAAACACACGCCGTGTGCATCAGGAAGGCACTTCTGTGGTGAGGTCCACAGCACGATAGCCAAACGCTGAAACCAACACAGACGTCTGGCCGCAGTAGAATGGATATCTAAATTGTGGAATAGCTGTATGATGGAATGGATATTCTACAGCGATGGGGATGAATGAACCTCAGCTGCGTGCATCAATGTGATGACCATCAGGACACACGATGTTGAGCAAAAGACACAAAACGCTGAAGAACGTTTGTATGATTTCTTTTGGATAAAGTTCAAAACCAGGCCAATCTAAACCGTATGCCTTAAAAGCAAGAAATTATTACAAAATGAGGACAGTGGTAACTTTTAGGGGTGATGGACAGTACTGCGAGTGGAGACAGGTTTCTGGGGTGGTGGCAATTTTTTATGTCCTGGCCTGGGTATTAGTTGTACAGATATTTCCTTCATAGTTGTTTAAGTAAACGTGTTTTAATACATTATATGTTTATATATATATGTTATACATTTCTGCATGGATTTTTATAATTCATGATGAAAAATATAAGGACAAAATGAAGGGCATGGAGACTCTCTGAGGAACAAAAAGGATTTTGGGTTCTGAAGGGGAAGGAAGAACTCAAGTGGGCACAGGGAATAAGTGGGTGGGCTCAAGTTAGAGGAACAGAAGGGGTTTTGATGGAATCTGGACAGTGAGAGTTTGGAGCCATAAAGTGAAAAGAGTCAAAAGAAAGTTCATCGCCACATCAGCTCAGAATTTCAGGCTATATCTTCCCAGCGGGGCACAGGTATCTTGTGCATCCTTCCTGAAGGGGTCTGTGCATAAGCAAGCGTTATGTGCATGACGGTGCACGTGCTATTCACTCGATACGCTATGTCCCTTGCTTTCCTTTTCACCACATATATTCTACGTTACCTTTATAATTAGCAAAAAACAAAAATAGTTTCAATTTGAACAAAGCAAACAAGCATATGACAGAGGCAAGGCTTCATAATTAATAAGTAAGTCCCTTTTATATGTCTGAACCCAAGCGCTCATATGCCCGTGTTCATGTGAGGACTGGGGCAGAAGGGGAAAGGGGAGATCAGGGGTGTGATTGAGGGACTGTCCCCTGCCTTCCCAACCACTGTCAGGGCTGGCCCAAACTCAAGGAGGCAACCCCCCTTCACGGGCAGAGCCTCTGTCACAGATATCAGGGGGCCACTGGTAGCCGGGGCCGTACCTCGGAGTTGGCAGGCACCATAAACTGGGAGGGCAGGCTGATGTCAGGCACCCTGCATTCCGTGGAGAAGGTCACCAAATAGGGCAGGGGGTTCTCCACCTTGATGGAGGCTGATGTGCTCTGCCGGACGGGGCTCGTCATCTCGATGGTTTTGATGATGCCTGAAGGGATGACCCTGAAACTCACCATGTAGTGTAAGAACTCATTGGTCACTTCATTTCGGAAGATCACCTGGGTTGGCAGGGAGAGGGGGAGGAAGTAGGGCAGAGGAGGGGGGTTAGCAGAGGGGCTCCTGCTGTCTCAAGGAGCTCCTTCTCTCTGCTAGCATTGCCTGCAGACATGAAGCACAGGTGCCAGGCTGACATCGGCACTCCCACCCTGTCTGCACCCCCACCAGCCAGCCTTTCTCCTGCGGACTTCCGCTCTGGCTCCTCCCAGGTGAGAGCTGATGGAACAGCCCGGTTTGCTCAGAAGAGGCCAGAGCAGCACTGTCCAGTGCTGAAGGTGAAGGTGTCCCAGGGGACTGCTAGCTGGCCCCAGAGAGAACAAGCAAGACCTTAAGAGCTTCATGCTGTAGTGGGCTTCACTCCTATGCCAGTTGCTGCTGAAATTGACAATAATGCTAATAATGGTAATGACAGCATCTAACATTTAATCAATGATTACTGTGTGCCAGGCACGAGAAGTACTTGTTTAATGTATACAACTTGTAGGCAGTATTATTATTCCCCTCACTGTTTCCTTTCTTTCTTTCGTTTGGTTTTGTTTTGGTTCTTTCTTTTTTTTTTTTTTCCCCCCCCAAGGAAACTGAAGTTCAGCAAAGGTAAATATCTTGCCAAGGTCACATGCAGGGAGAAGTGTCAGAGCCAGGACTTGAACAAGGTTGAACTGACTCCAGAGCCCACCCTCGCGACTGCACTACATTGTCCCCTCACCCCTGCGACTGGCATGATAAGCTTCTGCTGCCAGTACACCCAGATTTCTGTCGGGTATCATTTTCCCTCAGACTGAAGAATACTTATTAGCATGTTGTCCAGTGATACAAGTCTGCTGGCATTGAATTCTCTCATGTTCTTTTATCTGAAAATATCTCCATTTTAAAGGATATTTTCAGTGAATGAAGAATTCTCGGTTGATAGAATTCAGCACTTTGCAGATGGCTTCCATTATATCTGAAGGGAAGTCAGTGGTCATTTTTATTATTGTCCCCTGTATGTAGCATATTTTTAAATATCTGGTTGTTTCAAGCTTTTCTCTTTATCTTTGATTCTTAGCAGTTTTGCTATGATGTGCACAGACATGGTTTTCTTGTATATCATGGTTATCTTTGTATTTTTCCTGCTTGAGGTTTGCCAAGTTTCTTGGATCTATAAATATATATATATTTTTAAGATTTTATTTATTTATTTGACACAGAGAGAGAGAGACAGTGAGAGAGGGA